GATCAAAAATAGTTCGATTGAATAATCTAATTATTAACAATTTTAATATTTTATTTAAAAATCGTGAGATTAATGAGCAAGAACTGTGTATAGAAATGTTTTTAGTTCATGACTATGTCTTGATTGAAAACAAAAAGCATAGCATTTATCTCGTTGAATGTATAGTAACTAAACTTTTGATAAAAAATGTTCGAGCATAAATATACGATAAAATACTAAGACAATTACTCAACAAGACAATAGATTTATCACAGTGTATCAATACACACAAATCGAAGCGACTCGAATGCATACATATATCCTAAGCAATTTACATCCTATGAATAAATATTCACTGGGCGAAAATTTTGCTGTCTTGTTTTTCATATGCAAATCATTCATTTCAGTAATTATTAATTATACTCTATCAAGGTATTAATACATATCTACTCGAATGCACTACTGTCTGTATGAGATTTTTAAAAAGAGATCGTAAAAACTGGTAGAAGACTATTTGCAAATCTACAGGGTGTCCGGAAAGTCATTTAACAAAAGTTTTTTCGTATATCTTTACTATTTCATTTAACACTAACGCCAATTTTTTTTAACTGTAGGCGAATATACCGAGTTTTTATTTATCCAAGCGACTTTCGACAGTATCCTGTAAAACTATTATCATTGATCGAAATAGAAAAACTTTGCTATTTTTGTGAGATGTAAGTAGAACATTATGCAGCGTTTTTTCTTTAATTATTTTTTCCTGTAGTAGCTATCTGTAAATTTTGCTTCAACGAAAAGGTGTAGTAAATTTTCAATATACATATTCTTATAGAACTCGAGAGGCTCCATCTAACCATATGAAAAATATAAAAGAAAAAACATCATCAAATTTTGGATTACTCGCATCTCACAAAAATAGCAAAGTTTTTGTATTTCGATCAATGACAATAGTTTTACAGGATACTGTCGGAAGTCGCTCGGATAAATAAAAACTCGGTATACTCGCTTATAATTAAAAAGGAATTGTTGATAATGCTAAATGAAACAGCAAAGATATACGAAAAAACTTTTGTTAAATGACTTTTCAGACACCCTGTAGATCAAGAAATAAAACTTTATACTGATGTAGGCATATGAGTGAGTATTCAGTATTAAACTAAGTTCTAATCCCTAGTAAAATAATTGAATTTATGATACCATAGTAAACATATTGATTAGAAAGATATATTAACATATTTCACTATAAAAGCATATTCCGTTGAGAAAAATAAAAAGAAAGTAATTAAAGTGAAGATTTTAAAAACCTGAAAATCTCTCGCTTTGTCTTTTAAGTTTCTCGAATGATTTATCAACAAATATGTTATCAAAGCCAGTTTATCTCCTAAAAAAATCCACCTAAGAAGATTTTATTTACGTAAGAGAAAACTTTTCGAAACTATTAATTATGAAATATAATTTTGTTTTTGAAACTGTTTATTTGTTTCGAAGGATCCAAACAAAAAACTTGAACTTTAGAAAAGAACATAAAAGTTCAATCAGAAGAAAAAGCTTGTTAGTGCAGCTCCTTTGGAGCTGAACTATGGAACTCACGTATATACTTCAGCTTCATTATACTAATATGCAATATAGATAGTATAAAATTCTGAATTTTTTAGTTTTCTGACAGGCGTCCTTATTTTTCGTCTCTATTGTTTCTATTTACTCAGTGTTTTTCATTTTTAAAACTGCTTTGTTTTCTTTAATTTTAAATTTTTATTATAAAAAGTATTGAATTATATGACGAATGAAACTATTATGTATAGATGTATATGTATATCCATTATTTTAAACCTGGGCGCTAAGGTTTACAATGTTCTCCTCCGTTGATATGGTCTGTAAGGGGAAGGGAAAAGAGTCGCAAAATCTTGAATTTAAAACTTACACTCACTATTTTCTTCGAAAATATACCTGAGTTCCACAAAACATGACAAAGTAATGTGTTTGAGCCTTATGATACTGCATAAATTGATCGATGATTATCGCAGAAGGAAGATAGATGTAATTGATATGTTTAGTGATCAAATATAATACATTTAAGCTTTATTGACATGAATTAAATAGTTTCATACAGATATTTTCCAATGGCATTTTTGCATGATGAAATATTCATTTTTAACGCACTAATAGAAAAGAAAATAAGCAATATTCAAGATTTTTGTCGAGAGCTTTTTTGTCATAATAGTAAGTATTTACGGCATTCGATTTCTTTGAATATGATTGAGTAAATAGCCTCTGATATATTTTGAGGTATGAATGTGAGTTTATATTGAAAGACACACCTAAACTCACATTCTCAGTCACTCACCGTCGTACTCCTACATTCACAATCTGATAACGGCTGTTTATTTTCGCTTTCGTTTTCGTCCCTGACCTTGTCGTGATTTGGTAGATAATGAATGGATGTGTATGGTTTCTAGAGAACTTTTGATATTTCTCGGCAATACGAAAAGATTTTTTTTTTCTATAGGGTCCACTAAATATGGATGATATAATAAAAGGTTCTTCAGTGCTCTTAGAAATTTTTTCATAGTTTCATAGAATTTATGGGAAGACGTATTTCTAGATTTCAAAAAATATTTTCCAAACTCACTCCTCTATGAGAGAAGAGTGAATGGATTCTGTAAAGTCCAAAAGACAACGTTGTCATGTGTCTAAATCAAGGGAGAACGGGCGAGACTTCGGGAGTGCGTACTTCCCTGATACTTCCACTGTACTTTCTCGTACTTCAAAATACTTCTGAAGTAGATGAAGCCTCTCACCCCTTTTCCCCTGGTCTAAATGCAATAGTAATTGGAAAGGCATGTGTAAACGCTTTTTTTTTATAGAAACATGTCTAAATGTGTTCATTGTTTTTGATCAGTTGGAATATCTTGAGGGTATGGGTGTGGGTCTTGCCTGTATTCACATCCAAACTCATCCACACCCACAAAATCTCAATTAAAGCCCAAGAAAATTAACAAAATTTGATCACATGTACAATCTTAATATAGCAGATACTGTTTGAGGTAGTGTAGATGCGGCCCTTCTTTTTCTTCACATCCTATAAACGAAACTTGAGAGAAAACCGGATTTAGGATAGAAGATACAACAGTTCTGTATGTTTTTAAACAGAACCGTGACAGAATATCGTGAATTTCCTTGTTTTTCTTGTTATCATGACCATAGTATTTATTGCAAAAATACATCTAAGAATTCGAATGGAAATTTTTTCAAAGGCTAGAAAATTTAATCCACAAAAACATCAGATAATTCTTCCGAAAATTAGGTGATCATTTTTTTATTAGAATATATTTTGAGCTGCTTCATTATCCACTGTCGGTCTTTCAAAACACGTTATTTATACAGCAGTGCATTATTATAAAGGCTTTTATGCGGTATTAAGACAATTGGTCTGCCATACAAGAGAATTTATAGAAGATAATACCATTTAGAAATTTCATTTGATCGAATTGGGTTTTCAAAAAATGTTTCACTTAATATCTCTCACAGAGTTTCTATCTTGTTTCAAGTAATACGGCTTGGCAGAGAAGTTTATAAGCTTTATTTTTGATACAAAAGTTATAACCTGTGGCAATTTTTCTCTCCCACCAGACTTTATTTTTACCACTGTAATCAATTGAAGTGGAAAGTACTAATGCTAAAAGGCAATAAAAGCGTTTATCATGATTCTTATAGAACATGTAGGGTTTCTTTTTTTCTATAAAGCAACAGCGCTAGATCTTCACATTTACACATTGCATCTGAAGGAAGATTATTTAATTGATCTAACTCGATAAAATCTTCTCAAAGTGCAAAAACTTTGAGAGAGAATTTTCTAAAAACTTTCGTTTTAAAATATGTCTGATCGTTCAAAACAAATTTCAATCGAATTCTTTCGTGAATATTTGCATTAGACACTGCTGTATCTAACCAAAAAAAAACAATGAAGCCTCTACGCTATTTAGTCATAGCGTAATGTCAAAAACAAAATATATCCAGAACTTTGCATGATCCTTTATGTGCGTTTGCTATAAAACAAATGAATGAATCACTGGAATCACTATGTAAAGAAAAAAATTTAGAAAGAATTTACGCGTTGGAAAATGAAAGAAACAGTAAAAGTGGCTAAACCCGTGGATGAACGAAGACACTTCGTAAATAGTGACCTAAACATACATAGCAGAAAAGAAATGAAGGCCGAAAGCATTGAAGTGCAAAAATTGTAAACGAGTTGAACCCGCTGGTTCTCGGAAAAATATAACCCGGCCCGTAAAACCCGTAAACCATAGTCCGTCAGAGTTCTGATCCGGCCCGTAACCCACGGACAGGTCCATGGGTCGAGCGGGTTGAACGGAAACGGGTCAACCCGCCAACATCTCTGACCCATACGCACACCCAACATATGCAACGGATGGGACGCTTAGCTGGGGAGGAGAAGCCACGACGATTAGTGAAACACCAGTCTGCTCAAAGGAAATAACGATCGATTGTTGGAACGGCATTTGTTTGACGTTAGAATGTCACATATGGGCACAGACGAAAGAAAAAAATGCTTCATTCAATTATGAACTTGAAAAAATTTTGCCTCGTGGTCAATTCATGTGAACTACTTTGATTTTTAACCTTCTTTTCTTAGTAAACGATTCCTTCATTTTGTTTAGCTGTAAATCTTTGGTTGGGGTGCGGGTATATTCTCTACTGAAGAAATATTACATATTCTTTTATGTGACGCATTTACGACTGTTGACATCAATCAATTTTTTTAAACTTATTACTGCTTATATCTTAGATACGTCGACGCACATAAAATGAGACATTGCCTTATGATCATGTAAAATGAAACACAAAAAGGAATATTAAAAGTCTTCGAAATTTCAATTTATTTGTGTTTGCAATCGAAAAACCGATAATAATGATAAAAACTCATCAACCACCACATCAGTTGCATTGCTGAAACAAGATTGGTTGCTATTTTATCTACCTAGAAATAGTCACATGCAATTTTACAGATAACTAGTAGTTAGTAAATTGTTCATACCATGAGGATAGACACAATTCATAATACCTTGTGGAATAAGTCCAGGTTGACAAACACACGTGCCATTAAGACACATGGATGAGGCAACTAAACCACCACAATTTGTATCGGAATCACAATGCATGCCTAGTGCACTGTCGTAAATGAAATAAGTACTATCAGGAGTAGTGTAAGGAGGAGTAGATGGAAAAGCATTAGCTGTAACAACTAAAAGTAGTAGGACAGACCACATTTGGGATCTAAATATCTAAAGAAAAACATTATCAAATTGATTATGTATTTATTGTTAATTAAAAATAGCACTCCACCCAGAAAAATTGCAACATAAGTTAACCAACTTTTGATAGAGTAACACAAAAAACAGATCAGATTTTTATTTTATATTCAATCATCGAATCATGTTAATTATTTGAATCCTTCTGTTTCTTACCGTAACATTCAACAGTGTTTGAATAGCCGATTATTTCTTTTACAAACTACGCCCTTTAAATAGGAAGCTTTTGTAATGAAAGCCTCTTGTCAACAGAGACATTTTTGATTCATTATTATGTGATATCATGAAAATGCAGATGATATTTCGTTTTCTGTTAAGGCAGTAAAACAATAGGTAAATAGTAATAGATGACACACTCGTGTCATTTGAAATGTGGACTAATATTGCAAAAACATCCTGCATTCAAAAAGAAATCAACAGAAAACATACAGAAACTTCACGAACTTTGATGAACTCAGAACCAGATATAATGTTATCGTGAATAAATATTGCAACAGCTTATCAGTTCGATTGAATAGATATGCACGTCTATTGTTTAGCCAGCGCCAACAGCATGAACAATTGAACATTTATTTTTGCTGATATTGATGAGCACTGCAGACATTTAGTCAGCCGATGGCTTCATATTTCCAGGGATTTTTTAAATCCACTTTTTTCGAGAAACTATATGTGTGTCATTAAGTGAAGATGATTCTTTTCTGAACCACCAAATCCTACATCCACTCACCCGCTGGAAACCGTCAGGTTGCACAGTTTACGGACGACTTGGCAGCTTGAACATGAATACATCGGCAGTAAACAGACCATCACCAAAACGATCGCTTTTCGAATAGAATTTTCTACTCAGGTTCTTATTATACGCTTAGATCTAGAAGTTCAAGCCGAAAGACTGAGCTACCGTCATCGCTGGCAATTCTCAAAAATCGAAAAATTTTGTCCACCGTCACCAATTGACCTTGTGGCTTACATCTCTACTTAGATCAGTTCTTTTCATGTTGAATTAATACACACACAGAAGAAAAGAAAACACGATCTTTGGGAGAATAATTCTTCTTGATACATCGATCATCAGGAATCATTTTTGAAAATCTACTCCGACTTCTTGTTTTTGTTCAGATAGATTGATGAAACGCTCATACTTTTATGAAAACAAATTAGAAAAAGTCAAGTTTTTGCTACTATCTTCTAAACCTAATACAGTAACACATAGTATTTCCTCTTCGTGTAGATACAATTGCCCTATTAAAATAGTTATCACATCAACTAAACAACAGAACTATGTCTTCTATTGCGTCTCGAAAAGCAATGTATCCTGACAAGTTTTCAAAAAATCTGATGGATTGGAAGAAGTATCCTGTGAAACACGTTTTGTAGATCTTGTCAACTGGATACTACTTAGCGAATAACAGAAAACTTCTTTCAGTTATTAAATGTTTGTATGCGTTTAGTGGACAAAACTATGATGAAACTGAATTTTCTCTCAACAAAGTGATCAGTGAAAATACTTTATTCGAGCATGTATAAAAGCTGATGCTTCGTAATCGAATTGCTTGTGTTCTGTGAAACAGAACTCCTTTCACTCAGTTGTTCTTGCTGCTAGCATATAACTATAACTAAAACTAATGCAATATATCACTCAGTGATGTTCACTAAAAAGTGAGAAAGTCCACTTCGTATAACTTTTCTAAAAATATTTTGTTTGATACAAACCGATGAGCAAACTATCATACTCTTTCTATTTAAATAAGCAATGTAACTTTTAGTGAAAATACAGAGAGTTTGATAATGTGCCAGTTGCATCATTATTCAATTAATATTTCGATAGCTTCAACAATCATAGAAATCAACCGAATATTTACATTGAATAATTCACATACTTAAATCGAGTAATTTACTAAGCAAGACATTCTGCAACAGTAATGAATTACTCAAACAAAAGTCTTGCGTCAAAGAGAGAGAAAGTCTTATACAAATGGTTCATTAACAAAAGCAAAGATAATTAGAATTCATCTATTTTTCGACTATATACGAGGAAACTTTATCTTCTCTGCACTTTGATTGTTTTAGTATATTCTTGGAAACATGAAAGGCACTTGAATTCCTTCTAGCTACTTACATCTAAGTTAAGAATGAAACGACTAGATGTATATTTTTATATGACAATGCCGAAGCTACCATATAGGGAATGAATAGAAAATGAAAAGTCATATCCATCGGTTTTTACCTACATGACATATGTGTCATAAAATTATTTATAAACTTCATTGTGCACTCTTCCAAAGGAAATAGTAACATAAAATGTATCGAGCCACTCATAGTCGTTCAGTCCTCTGATTGATATCTATGCCATCATAAAACATCGCTTTAAGTATCGCATAATTGACAATCATAAACCATTTGTCAATACAAATAACATCAGCTGATATTGATTTCTTGTTCTGCATTCAAGTCGTTGGACTAATAAAAACGAAAACGAATTAAATATGATTCGTATAGAAGAGACAAATTTCGAAGAAGTGAACAATTGGAAATATTCATAGTCTATTCGTAAGTCAGTACTATAATATCATCTATTTATTCGACGTAATATTCTGAAAGAGCATACATTTTTTTGCAATATTTCCTGTCCAATACGTTACTTAACAAGGATATGTCCTGGAAGCCAGGGTGTGGGTGTGGGTGTGGGTATAGGTGTGGATAAGCAAAGAAAAACAACTGCCATCTACACCCACATCCACATCTGCACCTACAACCACATCTACACCTACAACCACATCTACACCTACAACCACATCTACACCTACAACCACATCTACACCTACGACCACACTCATATATTTAGAACTGATATCGTAGCTAGTATTGAAGCTACTATGATGCTGCATTTAAATATATTTTGGATATTGCTTTATGTCGAGTATGTGTTAAAGTGCAGATACTACAAAGTATGTTTCAAATTGAGATTCTAGTTATATTAATTAGGTATCATATAGTTATACAGTGTCATCTATATATATATATATGTCGTAGGACAGATTGAAATTCAGTTCAGATTAAAATATTTTGATCTGAACTAGTTCAGTTTAAAATCTTCCTAGTTCACTTTAAAATAATTTTGATCTCAACTAGGAAGATTTTAAACTGAACTAGTTCAGATCAAAGATATTTTAATCTGAACTGAATTTCAATCTGTCCTACGACATATATATATATAACACAACGTTCGTACTTGTTGAAGTTCTTTAGACTATAATAAGATTAAAAACTTACGCTCAGCTTAGTGACAAATAGCTATTACTCAATATTACGATTCACTTTTTGGATTTTCACAACACTTTAATTCATGTTCTAATTTATTATTTGGTGGTGCCAAATCATCATTTATTCTTAATAAAAAAAAACGGAATGATACGCACTTAAATCCTTCTGAAGCTATGAAGTTTCAAATATAACTTTTTATCAAAATTTTTTGAGTCATGTCTTTGATTGATGAAGTTTCGAATAGATAAATAAATAGCAAACGTATACCGAATTTAGGTTTTATACAGAACATCTTCTTTTAAAATTAGTTCTTCAGCTCATCCATAGGAATAAAATGTATGGATACAATCATGTGTAGGTTTCTTTGTGTGACATACATCCTAGAACAAAAACCTTTTCCCCTATTTATCTTGTTGTCTTGTCAAACTTTGCATTGAATTGATTACTAAGTAAATATATGACAACGCGATTATATGCACTAAAATGATATCATACTTTCATCATATCATATATTTACTCGGTAATAAATTAAATGCCAAGTTTGATACCATAAAAGGGTAACAGAGAAAGAAGAAGTTTTGTTCGAAGGTATTAAATGATTTTTTTTTCAGATTTTTATAATTTTCCAGCTCTTAAAAGTATGCTGAACTGCAGAAACTTCGAAGTTTCATTCGAAACACATAATATTAGTGAAAATGAATGATTTTCATATAAAGAGTTCATAACAATTGCAGCGCATACTATCAGTATTAAGAAATTTAGATTTTCAGCGTAACTTCAAAAAATATGACAGATTCGGAATCTCATTTACTATATTTCAGAACTTATAAGAGAACGATTTCAAACTTCGCATAACATTTTTTCCAGAACATATAAAAGCGACATTTCTGAAACTTGCAAATTACCATCCATTGACCAGAAGTATCTGTCATTTCATTTTTGTGACAAGTGTCATAGAAGCAGTGCGCTCATTTACATATCACTGTTAGATTTACATCAAACCTAAACATGTAAGTTAGATGAATTTACATTAATCTGTGTTAACTCGAATTTGGGTGTGGGTGTGGGTGTGGGTGTGGGGTGTGGGTGTGGTTCTTCTCTGAGTCCACCCACACCCACACCATTCGAATACACGACAAGACCAAGAAAATGATGTAATTGAACATATCGCAGGATTGAAAGTCAAGAATGATAATGATCAAGTTCGGAAACTGTTTTTTCTTCATGTTGATCAAACGATTGTGATTCATTTTTTTTTTGAGAAACAACATCAAATAATGTTGCGTGAAATCCCTTATTTTGTTGTTGTTTCAGCGGATTTTCGTTGTGATCCAAGTCCCTTCGCATCAACAAATAATGATCTTTTTCTCAGTTTTCTCAGTTTTCTTAGGTTTTATTATTCTGATCCAGTATCGGAAAATTTCCTAGTAAAAGACGTTGTAATTGGTCTTGCACGTGTGAACAAATACGAAGGAGGCTATTATCGTGTATATACTAAAGAGAACTATTCATCCAAATGTGTTATTATATACGTAGATCTTGGACTAATAGATGAAATTCCAAGAGTCGAAGCTCAACTCAAATATCTAATTCATTATTTTACTAAACTTCCTTCCTTAGCCATTGTCTGTCTCCTAATGAATATTGAATTCAAGCTCGACAATTATCAAATACCTCCTCTAACATACAAAGAATTGAATGACGTGTGTCGAACAGGTTCATTCTACTTTGAACCCCATGGTAAAAACAATAACATGTCAAATGTGAAGATCTTTGATTTTGATCAACGCTGCTATTGAATGACAGTTGTCAAGAAAGGATTAGCTGTATATATATATTTATATATCGTTAATTGTTTATAACAAAATATCTGTTTTAGTTTTCTTCATCCATGTGATTCATAACAACATGACCACCGACCAGTGTTACTAACAACCATCAAGGTCAACAGTGTGGAGCAATATTCTTATTCTTTATTTGCAGATATAGTTAAAGTTTCTTAGTAGTTTTCTTTCCGCAATTAATATAAAACAGGAGTAGATATGGGTAAAAGCAAGACACTCATAATCAGACTATTTTGTAGGTACACTTTCAAACATCATCGTTAAGATTGATGAGTAGATCAGGAACTATGACAATGATCGAGATATGCTTATGTTTAGAGTAACTATTGGTGTTAATAAATCGGTTATCACCTTAGGTTTTTCATGTACTTATCAACTTCATCATCAATGTCACAATTGCATTCCTAACGTCTTTCATTTGTTTTTCCTTTAAAATATATATTGTATTGTCAGTTATAGAGGAAAAATGGATGTATGAGTACACAGTTATTCACGCTAGAAAAAGCACTGATAGGTCTAGAAAATTGTAGATGATTTGATTGCTTATGAGTTTGATGAGAAAGCTCAAGTCACAAACTATAGACTGAATCAATCATTTTCTGCAAGTCATTTAAATTAAAAATATAAAAGAATTGTTATAAAAAATGAACTGTAAAAGTTTTATTCAATCTAAGAAGATTCTTTGCTGTTGAAATAAAGAATAGAATATGCTCTACTAAGAAACTCATTTTATAATATTTCCCGCGTGGGAAAAACCTAATGATTTTCGATCAGGTCCTTTACTACAATACTCAGAAAATCGATTCTGAAAATGCGAACAAAATGTAGTAACCCGATTGCAATCACAATCGTAATCATAATTAGAATTTTTGTTGACTGTATTTCGTGATTTATTTAGTTAGTATAATGCGGCTTCATGAAAAAATATCACACTTATATACTTTGCTGTCGAAAAAATCCAGAAAAGAAAAAGTTGAAGTTTTTTTACCAAAAACTTGAGTCGTAATGACTTTATAGTGATCAAAGTTTATTTCGTGAATTGATGAGACTGACCGAATCAAGCAAAAAAAATTTAATCTGACCAATCCAACTATCTATGGGATTAGATGCGTTCGGAGAGTTTCCTCGAAAACTCAATTAAATGCTAGGGTATGAGATATAGAGATATAGGAGATACAGAGATGTAGAAGACATAATAAACAGTGATTTATTTTTTATGATTCATTTTTTCGAGCAAGGGTCGGCAAATTGATCGAACGTATCTGAATGGATCGCTATTCAAAGTCAAATACTATATAAAGACTATCTGCACTAGTTAATGAATATCTCCAATATCTCTATATCTCATACCTAGCGTTTAATTTAGTGTTCGAGGAAACTCTCCGAAGACATCATATGATCTATGTACAAATGCGAATGGCCTTGATACATCGACAATGCATATCTGGTCAACTCTTGTCGACGAATGATGAAAATTGCATTCTTTTCAATCCTTTTAAAATTTAAAAAAATGATACATATGTTAGAAGAATATCGTCAATCTTCTATATACAATTCAATGTTATTCGCCTTTTTCTATAACAACAGCCATAGAAAAGCTGAAAACCCTTCTCCATTAGCTGTTTGTCAACAGGACATTTTATCAATGGAAAATTTGAGTACACGATGATTATTATGGTCGGCCACGTAAAGATTACCCTCGAGATCAAATGATACATCAGTCGGTGAATTAAATTGATCTAAGCCAGAACCTTGTCCGCGACCACCGGCAATAACACTGCCGGATATTGCTCCACGTGGCCATCGTATGATCTGATGATTATAACTATCAGCTATATAGAGAGTTTCGAATTCATCGACAAATACACTTTCTGGCCCTTGCAGTTGATTTATACCACTACCACCATCAGATCCACCAGCAACAACGGAAATTTGCGTTGCTTCATACTCTAATTTTACCACTCGATGATTATCTCGATCAGCTACATAGAGAGATCGGTTTCTATCAAGGAAAATTAGATACGGATGATTCAGCTTGGAAATAATTACTTGTCCAACAGTCTCGTTCATCGGTAGTTTTATCACTTCACCTTTCACTCTATCGGATATATAGAGAGATCCTTCATCATCTTGTGCCATACCGTGAGCAGAAATATCACTAATAATTGTATCTCCAGTCGAATCACCACGAAACCAACGTTGAACACGATTATTTTCAGCATCACCAATATAAAGTGTCCCATTTTGATTGAAAACAAAATCGCGTGGACCATGTAATTGATTAGGCGCGTTTCCTCTACCATTTCCACCGGCAACTATGTGTCCACTTGAATCACCAGCATTCCATTTTACAATACGATTATTAACATTATCCGAGACATAAATTGTTTGATTTTCATCAACGATGATAGCAGCAGGGTGACTCAATTGATTAAGATTCGATCCTGCTCCATTACCACCAGCCACAACTTGACCTACTCGTTGCCATGTAGCTGTTGCACAGATGCCGTCGCCAGGTCTTGATGGCAAAGATGTAGCTAAATGAGGATACACTTGATTTATTCGACTGAGGAAGTTGGGCAAAATCAAAGAATCTTGTTTTCGACTCTGAATTTTACTGGCTTTTAAAAATGTTAAAGTAAAAATTGATGAAAGTATACAAAAAATATATAATCGCGACGTTTTGTTAACTTCTGATGAATAATCTATCTAAGCTTTTATCATTATCTCATATAAACCTTCAAATTAAGGAAAAAAGTATCCTCTCTGAACAAGATAATATCGAGAATCTTACTAGAACGAGTAGTGATTACTGCAGTTGTCGTAGTAGTTATTGTAGTAATCGATATCATTGTTGTTACTGACTCTGTTGGGGTTAATGATGTTACCGCATCTGTTATCGGTATTGTCGATATTAGTATTGTTACTGGCGATGTAGCCGATAGAGTGTTTGTAGTTGTGGCTAATGTTTCGGCGGTTACTTGTGTTACTGTTGTTGCTACTGCCGTTGACGATGTCGTCGTTTTTATAATAGGTGTGGTTGGTACTGATGTTGTCAATATGATAACTGTGTCTGTAGTTGATGCTAATGCCTCGACGGGTACTGTTGTTATTGTTGGGATTGTGGTTAACATCGATGTCGGCACTGATGTTGTTGATACTCTCGTGTTAATAGTTGTTACCATTGTTGTTCTGTTTGATGTTGTTATTATTGTCGAGGCTAGTGTTGATGTAGTTGAGTTTACAGATATCACAATTGTCGGTATAACTGTGGTTCCTATCGCTGGTGATGTTATTGTGTGCCGACTTCGTTCAAGAATCATATGTTCTTATTTACAAAACAAAATCGAACAGTTGATATAGTTAGATAGTTGAGAAATCCGAACATCTACAATTGTTGTCGTAGCATAATTCGTTAAGGTATGATTTACTATGGATGCTTTTACTGGGTTTTGCTTGACAGTGAATATGACAATACACGCGATAACAGCAGATAAAATAAATATACTCATGGCAATTATTACTGTAGAACGAACAGGATTATGTCTGATGGTTCTGAGAAGTCTTGAAGGACCACTTGTTTTAACCTGTACTGTAGAGTTTTTTGCAGTTCGAGAGGTTTTTTGTTGAACAGCTCGCATGCGAATTGGTTTGTCCCCATGGTTGTGATGCGATCTCTTCTTATAGGACTCTCTTGAACGATGCTGAGTAGACCTTTGTCCTACGTTTTTTTAAACAGAAATACAAACCCTTAAAATGGATTAAAAACATACAACCAGTCGAATATGACTAAAAAAGTTGATATAAATGTTTTTGGGAATATTGCGAACAAAAAGATGATGTTCTCATCAGATGTCAACGAGTACTAAGGTTTCAATTCAGAAGAGACGCTATGGTATATCACTATCGCTATGTGTAACTAGAAGGAAACATTACTTTTTATTTTACTGAAATGATTTACAATAATTATGCAATTTGTTTTAAATATATTCTTGATTTATGCAAATACCACCTCCTGGAAATTCTTCATTATCTGTTTTCAGAATTATTCCTAATGAGCACGATACCTTATTCGCTGAACTTTTCTTTTGGTCAATACAGCTAAGTACTGCATGTGTTTTACTTTTACCTTTCATATTACGAAAATTTTGTCAACGATGAGTGTAATGTGTTGCGTTTACTTTTGTTCTTAAATCTTATCTACTCTTTTTCAAATCTGCAATCATATTCAAGTGACATTTTTCTGTTCTATTTGACAGAGAGATGATGATAAGATTCGTTTGCCTACTCACATATTGATTTTTACCTTGAATTAACTCGATAATATCAAATATAATGCTTAAGAGCATGTTTGCTTGCATTGGATAACAGTGCATATGAATCTTTCGATTAAAAAAAAATCCGAAAATATCACATATGGAATAATGGAACGACGTGAAAGATTTGGTTACTTAGATGTATTAAACAGTCAGCATGAGAGGCTGCAACGATTATATATTGCGTAGCTCTTCATCACCAAAAACAAAAAGCAATGAATATCACATATTCTCTTATCTCCTGTATAGAATTTTCTTTTCTTCTTCTTCAACCGGGATAATTTTTTTTTGTCGATGAAGTTAATTTTGATTGGCAATCTCGGGTTATGCTTTTGTTTTATTTGATGAAATTAAACATATAAAAGAGAAAAGTTCTTTTCGGTGAAATGTTTTTCTTTTGATTAAGTATTAAGTTCTCAACGATTGAACATAGATCATGCCAGGTAGAAGAACATTTGGGTGTGGGTGTAGGTATAGAATAAAGAACAAACCACACTCTCAATTGTCTGAATTTTTTCGTGCCTCAAACTATAAATATTGAATTGCTGTCTTCCGGTCCAATTTTATATCATGGGCGAAGGTTCAAGCACTGAGGAATAGAAATTCTTCTTCAGTTCCCTAAAAGTTCTGATTAGTAAAATTTAAAAAGAGATATCCACGATATATTTTACTCTTAAACACATTTTCATCAAGAAATTTCTGAACATGAATATATCACATCTGTTTCGGAAAAGACATTACTTTGAGTTTCTTAAATGGAAGAACTATAAGAGAACTAATTGTCATTTTATTTTTCCCGAGTGATCATGACAGCGACGCTGATAGTTCCTCTACAAATTAGAAACTCAAATTGTTCAATTCTTGGACGCTACTGTTCATTCAAACTACGGCATCTAAAGTGTTCAGCAGTGTTCAAGAACTAACAGAATGAGAGTTCATAGTCTATAGACATTTATCACAGAATAAAATAAAATGTATCACATTCATGTGTCGCTCGTCGTTATAGTGTGGCGAACTTGATCTAAAAAATGTGTTGCAGTCAAAAGATGTCCTATTATAATCGCATTGTGGTATATCTGCTAGTTATTTATCCACCGTTCTCTTTCGCACGTGCATTTACACAGAATCAACTGCCTAGAGGCAGTCTAAATGAGATTCAATAGACTGAAGACGACTAGATGTTTAGATCTTACTATCAGTGTTTTGCAAGAATAAGGAGTATTTATTCGAATCAAACCTAAAAAGTAGTCATTTTTTGTTTTCTCAGAAAAAAATAATCAACCTGTCGACGAATCGATTCGAACCACATTTTCAGAATGTATCGCACGAATTGTAGAAAAATGTGTCACAAAGAGCACCTCGCATCTCACTTGAGTGTCGTGTATATTGTACCGTAAAGTACGACAGACGCGCCACATTTTACTTTAGTGTGCAGTGCTGGTACGATGATTATTCGGGAAACCTAGAATCGCGATTAGTTCTCGCACAGTTCCCGCATTCAGGGATGTTAAACTAAAACCTTTTCTTAAACAGATGCGGTTCATTTATGTTCAGAGCGTTTTTTATGGAAATCAGTGTAAGAGTAAGATATATCTTGGTAGTCGTTTTTTTAATTTTATCGATCATGGAGCTGTGGAAGAACTGCGAAGGAATTCATATTCCTTATCCTGAGGCATCCCTCATTGAGTCGAGGGTCAAGCAAGTATTGGTGACAAACGTGACTTGTTAGTATTTCTAGTACAATGTTATTTATATTATCCATGGTTCTCCTATGTATTTCTATTCTAGATACACAAATATGAGCATCCACTTTGCCCACATTGAATGATGCCACGATGATGATAAAAAGTTTCGATTCTACGCTTTTAGTACAAGAAGATGGATTTCATCATGATGATAAACATGATATGGATAACGTCATGTAAGCCTTACTGAATCATAAGATTAAATCCAAAATAAAATATCACCTTGGATGAAACTTTCTGGAAAACATCAGAATCCACCTAGCATGGACAATGCTCTGGTGGCTATGTACAGTTATCGACGAAAACCATTGGCGCATCAATCAATTTCAAACCTATCCTGCCTTACTTTTCTTATCTTCATCCATAAAATCACCGAACACTTTTCTCTCTCAGCAACCTTAAATACAAGTAACGCATCGATCAATGGACCTCGTTTGGGTCAATCCTGAAAGCAAAGTATGAACAAAATAGCACATTACTCTCTTAAAAAAAACTGTGGCCTGGATCGCTTGATAGCTTTTGGTTCCTTTTTATCTTAGCCGATCACTCGACGAAAGCATAAAATAGTTCTCTCGAAACTTCCTGTAAAATCGTTTCTCGTTTCAGATTCTGATTACAAGACAATCTTGATGCTGGAAACTACTTTTCCATTTTCTTCAAGAATTAATCTACAACACTACATATACTTAGAGAAAAAAATGAAACGGTGCAAATTAGAATGCATCTGTTCAAATTCTTGGCTTGGAATTATCCGAGAGTGAAATTGAGATTGAAATTGATCATAGCAAGCCTTGATGAAGTTGCGAGAATTTCATTAAAGGTTATTGATAATACGAAGTTTAAATCAAACGCCATACCTCATAAAACGTGATCATTTGCTATCAACAAAACGAAGTTCAGATCCGAGGCTCATTTTCCACCGTTTACTAGCACATTACTACTATTTCCAAATATATGACACTGTTGTGAGGCTCAAAAATACTAAGTTCATTACCGAGTGGAAGAGTCCGCTATACAATAAAGTCACTGGCGAGTGAACATTCCAGTAAAAGTTCTCATCATTGTTTGGTTCATGCAACTTTATTTCCAAAAGAAGCTACGATGACTCTTTCGATCCATACAATGTTTCCTTTTTCTCTTGTCGGTCAAAGATGTTTATTAGTTTCTGATTCACTGAATAAACACACATATAGTACAAATTCTATGCATTTTCTTTTGAATACCATCAATGAGACAATGAGATACCACGGAAATCTTCATACTAAAATGTCTCTCGCGTGAGATTCTGACTATAAAATGATAACTAAACACTAAACACAGTTTGCCATATTGTCTTTAAAAGCGATCGGCGGTGATAGTGAACTAAATGAAAATACAATTTTCGCGTGGATTTTTTACTTACGACCATCTGTGGTCAAATTTCATTCCGTAAAACATAGATTTTGAGGATCTACCAGCTGTCAGAGTGGCTCCAAGTCGAAGTTTCGCATTGTGGGAAAATCCGTCGGATCCGGTAGGATTATGGTGGATTCGGGCGTATTATGTCGCAAATTGTAGAAAGATCACGCTTGGCATTTCAACATCGGGATTTGACTATCACAATGCGTCGTAAATATCGGAAGTTCGATAGGATCCAACTATTGAAATTCCAGACGCAGTTCTTCTACAATTCCCAACAAACATCCTGTTGATTTTACTCCTCTGTTGTGGAATCCCACGGGTATGTTTCAACCTGAACCTGTCTCCTCGGTCAGTCAGTTTTCATTTGTTGAACGTGTACTGCTTCGTGAGTAATTGGGCAGGCAAACAATTCAGTGTATATGATTCTGTCTTTCAGAAAACAGGTAATGGTGGAAGCAAGAAATCTGATTGACTACAGAAAAACCTAGAATAAATATGATTCGCTAAAAAACTGAGGAAAAAATCTGAAAAGTCGAAAAGTATCCGAGAAAGAATCTGATATCTGAAGCTGGTACGTTCTGTATAAGGATCAGACTTTGACATTGAGGTGGTTTTCCTTACCGAAGCTCACTTCTAATTGTCTGATTGATTCCAATCAATCAGAGAGCGAAGAAAAACACTAGCATTTAACACTGTGAAGACCCATCCTTTCAGGAATGAGAATCAAAGTTTTTTTAAAATTTTCTCAAAGTCTGCTTTTGAAAATTGAAGAGACACTTTCCTAGATAAGGTAACTCAATGTGCTCTAGTCAATCATGGAAAAAAATTGAAAAAAAACAATTTTGCTGAAATTTTGAATTGAGCACATCTTAGCAATATAACACAAAACAGCTAAAGAATGAAAAGCTCTTGCTCTTGCAGAAATTAGATGAAAACAGGATGATTTAATGAATGAATGGCGTTGTTCCTTTCGGAACTGATCTGTTGATTCAATTCACCCAGAACACGTTGACCTTGACTGCGTATACATACAAAGGAGAAATTAGACATCAATAAAAATATCAATACTTTACTGTTCTTTTTCCTTCATTCATTCGTTGCCAATGAATTTCTCTGCTGTTTGCTATTGCTTTTCATCGTAATACATTAAATACAGAGCTGCTTCCGCTATTTTTCTCTTTTCTGCCCACCGATTATCATATAAAAGCAACAGGACGACAACAAACATCACAAACATAACTACCACATGCGCAGTACTTCGTCTCTTATTTTTGCTGCTCTCTCTGATCACAATCGCAATGACTGATTCTGGTGGTGGTTGTCTTGATGCTTTTTGTCGTGCTTTTCGTGCTTGTTGTTTTCCTTGCGATATTATTTGTTGTAATGCTTGTGGTTTTGATCCTGATAATGGTGGTGGTTTTTGTGCTAGTTGTGGTGATTGTTGTCGTAATACTGTTGGTCGTTGTTGTTGTTGTCCTCCTAATTGAAAAAATAAGTCAGGTATGTTTTGCTAATATATAGGGTGTCCAGTAAGTAACTCCACAAAGAAAAATTTGAATATCTCCATTACAGCTTGGCCAAACGGGCTCAATTTTTTTACCAAGGATAGAGACATATTCACGTTCCCAATCCATACGAACAAGGCTAGAAGAACCTTTGTTAAATATCATTATTGACGTGAACAAGAAAATTTTTCTTTTTCACACGGAGGAAAAAACACAATGTAAAGGATAGTGCAAAAGTCACTTTATTGAAAAGAAAATTAAATGTCTCCATTACGGCTCGAGCAAGCCAGCTGATTTCTTTACCAAGGATGGGGGTATATTCATACTCCATATTGATACGGACAAGGTTAGTGAAAACCTTTGTTAAGTCTGTTGTTGTTTTTTCCTATTTGTGAAAAAGAAAAATTTTCTTGTTCACGTCAATAATGATATTTAACAAAGGTTCTCCTAGCCTTGTTCGTATGGATTGGGAACGTGAATATGTCTCTATCCTTGATAAAAAAATTCAGCCCGTTTGGCCAAGCTGTAATGGAGATATTCAAATTTTTCTTTGTGGAGTTACTTACTGGACACCCTATATATAGTGTTTAGATGATAACTCATGGAGAGATTATCGTTGTATTTTATTTCTTCATCCCAAGATTCTTGTTTGAGATTATCTCTTTGATTACTTGATGGTACTGAACTAATTCACTATTTTTTCGTTGTAGGAACTATGGCACAGACACAGCATCAAAATCGAACGTTTCTATCAAGTACCATCGAACATTACCTAGTTAATAGTTAGTTGGCTCTTTCACTTTTTCATCTATTTTTCTACTTTATTTTTTGTATTTTTCGCAATTTGCAAGTATAATAAAATATGTGCACCGAAAACATACTCTGATTAACTTGTTGAGAGTAACATCAAATATCATAAAATAGTCATGAAAAACCTATTTTTTTCTGTCGGAGTTCAAAATCACGCATTTAATTCATTTTAAGTTTCACGCAGTGAAGAAGCAATGCTATTATTTGGATACTGAATCAAATTCTGATCATTCCTCTCTATTTACACGTATCGATAGGCGACTTTTTTCCCTCTCGTACGAATGTATGTGACATTGCACATATACTAGAATGTGTATATGCAGAAATTGATTTATTAATTAATTTATTCATCAACATTATTTATTCACTTATTAAAGTAAATAAAATAAACAAAGAAGAAATAATTTAGAAAAATGTCGTACAATGATTGTGCAAACATGTCAACTCATTTGACAGATAGAATGGTCGACGGTACTGATATACAAGCAAAAAATATTAAAATTTAATAGTGAACAAGAAAGTTCGATAAAGTTCGTATACCGAAGTGACATCACTCACGTCAACAAAGAACAGCAAATGAAGATACACAAATTATTTTATCAAATGATGATGAAGATGATTTTCGAATCATCATATATCAACGCAAAAAATTCTTACGTGAAGATAAGGACAATCATTATCAAGAACAAAATGACGTCATATGTACAAGTGACAAGCTAAACCATGTACAACAAGAAAAACAGCAATATATACAGAAAAGAAGATGAACAATCACGTCATGTACATTTGGCAATGGAAAAATGACAGCAATGAATCATCTTCTAAAGAAAAGAGAACAGTAAAACGAAATTGACAAATCAATTGCTGAAACAAATTACCAGATACTTGAAACAGATGATAATAGCTCAAATAAGAATATAAATCAACAACAACAATATCAAGATGTCTATCAATCAAAATTGTCAATCTCAAATCATGCTCTACATTATGCCATTGAACAACATTTACCTTCTATAAATATAAAATGTGAACAAAAAATAAATGATCAAAAAATTACTACTAAACTTATAAAAGAATTATTCGCTATGATTGAAAAAGCTTTCGGAAACAAAATACTAAATATGCTAAGACTCTTGACTTTGATTACTGGTTTATTGATCGAGATAGTAATTTGTAATGTTATACTCGGGAAATTCAATTATTCGTTTTCCTATGTGAACGACAAAAATACCCCAGCCAATTGTCAAACACAACAATCAATCCGAACCCTCCAAAACGACTATGTCCACAACGATCAATAGTTCTCAAAAATGTACCAGGTGATATTCATATTGATGATATTAATCTTGAAATATCATCGAAATACCAATCGATCTACAACATAGAAGAAATGTGAGGAACCATCGGAGGAAGAAGTCGACACGTATGCATTGATTTAACTGCTCATGATGAATACATGCGTATTCTAAATGTGGGAGTAATGGCAATCGATGGTTTACTACTTGAAGCATCTGAATTCCTGACGCCGCCTCGATTACTCATTTTCACAAGGTGCAAGACACCTGGACACATAAAAACAGAATGTAAAAACGAATTTGATCATTATCGAAGATGTGGAGGAAATAGGGGTTAACGGGAGCACCGCGATCGTATTATCAAATGTCATCACTGTTATGGCAACCGCGAATCTACACTATTTCAATGTCCACTAATCGCTGATTTTCGTAAAGAATTGATTGATAAACTCAAGAGCAAACCTTATCCATTACCTTCAAATGTACAGTTGTTTATCCCTACCCAATTTCTATCTAGTGGTGAAAAAAAATAAGCAAATGCTTACAAACAATACAAGTAATGCATGTGCATTGCCATCCATTAATATACTCCACTGTCGTTCTCTATTAAAACAGAAACAAATCAATAACTCTTTTTCCCTTGAATCGATATCGAATTTTTGTACTCGATGATATCTCCGATCGACGACATAGAGATCACCGTGTCGATCGAATGGGAACCGAAGAGCGTATAGAGTTGGCTTGATTGTCCTCCTTCACCGTTTCTACCAACAATAATACTTCCCTATGTTGCTCCTTTAGGCCAACACACGATTCGATCATTCCCGGCATCAGCTACATAGACAGTGCCCAATTGATCGACAAAGACTCCTTCAGGATATGACATCTGTGTAAGGCCATTTCCTTCTCCTTGACCACCAGCCACGACAACGTCTTGTTTTGCACCTTCCACCCATTTCATCACACGATAATTTCCCCACTCAGACACATACACTGAACGATCTCGATCAACGAGTATGTATTGTAGAAAAGAGAGTTGATCGAGACGATTTCCATCTCCATTGCCACCTGTAACCACTGTTCCTTGAGATTCTCCTCTTCGATATCGTCTCACTTCATCTTCTACCAGATCAACAACATCGAGAGATCCATTCTCGTCCATTGTCAAATCCATACAAACGATGTTGGAGATGATGATTTCTGCACTTGTTCCATTTCGACGAGGCCATCGAGTCACTCTTCTATTCGAATTGTCGCAGATGATGAGACTATCTCTCTCTTTGTCGACAATCACATTCAATGGTTGAGATAACTGATTCGCCCTACTCCCTTGCCCATTTCCACCGGCAACCACTTGACCACTCGTCGTACCCAATTTCCATTCCACAACACGATGATTCGATTGATCAGCGACATAGACCGTTTGCTCATCATCCACATACAAATTCCATGAGTTTGAGAGTTGATTGATTCCATTATCTGGTCCATTTCCTCTAGCTGCAGTGAGACCATTCTGTATCCATGGAGCATTCGGATGAATATCAATTAAACTTCTATGAAATATAGAAACTGAAATCAAAATCAAGGAGAGGATAAAATAAGAAAAAAGGCAGAGAGAACATAAACGGGGAAAAGTGAAAAGTCGATTTGAATTTTCGTAACATAAACATTGTTTCAATTTTCTCTTACGAGGGAAGGTCCCCAAGTGTGAGTCTCCGTTTCGAATCGGGTATTTGTTATTTTGTAGAGCTCAATGAGTACAGTACCCGCTTATAAAGGATTTCTGCCCATGGTGAACTTTTCAGGAACAACGAGGTTCCATACCTTCTGAAAAATCAGCATAAGACTTAACTGAAGGCTTGAATCTTAATATTGTAAGGAAAAAACATAGTGTTGTTCAGGCCAATCGGTGGTTATCAATGATGCTCTTTCATATGGTCCGAATAACACCATGTTTTGTTCTTATAATAGTAAAGTGAATTTTTTTGGTGTTTGGTAGAAAANACTGTGTATAGAAATGTTTTTAGTTCATGACTATGTCTTGATTGAAAACAAAAAGCATAGCATTTATCTCGTTGAATGTATAGTAACTAAAGTTTTGATAAAAAAAAGTTCGAGCATAAATAGACGATAAAATACTAAGACAATTACCCAAGAAGACAATAGATTAATCGCAGTGTATCAATAGACACAAATCGAAGCGACTCGAATGCATACATACATCCTAAGCAATTTACATCCTATGAATAAATATTCACTGGACACAAATTTTACTCTCTTGTTTATCATATGCAAATCACTCATTTCAATAGCTATTAATTCTACTCTATCAACGAATTAATAAATATCTACTCGAATGCACTACTGTCTGTATGAGATTTTTAAAAAGAAATCGTAAAAACCGGCAGAAGACTATTTGCGAATCTAGATCAAGAAATAAAACTTTGTACTGATGCAGGCATATGAGTGAGTATTCAGTATTAAACTAAGTTCTAATCACTAGTAAAATAATCGAATTTATGATACCATGGTAAACATATTTCACTATAAAGATATATTGCGCTGAGAAAAATAAAAAGAAGGTAATTCAAGTGAAGATTTTAAAAACTTGAAAATCTCTCGCTTTGTTTTTTAAGTTTCTCGAATGATTTATCAACAAATATGTTATCGAAGCCAGTTTACCTCCTAAAAACATCCACCTAAGGAGATTTTACTTACGTAAGAGAAAATTTTTCGAAACTATTAATTATGAAATATAATTTTGTTTTTGAAACTGTTTATTTGTTTCGAAGGATCCAAACAAAAAACCTAAACTTTAGAAAAGAACTTAAAAGTTCAATCAGAAGAAAAAGCTTGTTAGCGCAGCTCCTTTTGAGCTGAAATGTGGCACTCACGTATATACTTCAGCTTTATTATACTAATATGCAATATAGATAGTATAAAATTACGAATTTTTTAATTTTCTGACAGGCGCCCTTATTTTTCCTCTCTTTTGTTGCTATTCTCTCAGTATTTTTCATTTTTAAAACTGCTTTTTTTTCTTTAATTTTAAATTTTTATTATAAAAAGTATTGAATTATATGACGAATGAAACTATTATATATAGATGTATATGTATATCCATTATTTTAAACCTGGTCGCTAAGGTCTGCAATGTTCTCCTCCGTTGATATGGTCTGTAAGGGGAAGGGAAAAGAGTCGCAAAATCTTGAACTTAAAACTTACACTCACTATTTTCTTCGAAAATATACTTGAGTTCCACAAAACATGACAAAGTAATGTGTTTGAGCCTTATGATACTGTGCATAAATTGATCGATGATTGCCACAGAAGGAAGATAGACGTATTTGATATGTTTAGTGATCAAATATAATACATTTAAGCTTTATTGACATGAATTAAATAGTTTCATACAGATATTTGCTAACGACATTTTTGCATGATGAAATATTCATTTTTTACGCCCGAATAGGAAAAAAAAATAAGCAATATTCAAGGTTATTTTCGAGAGCTTTTTTGTCGTAATAGTAAGTGTTTAGAGCATTCGATTTCTTTGAATATGATTGAGTAAATAGCCTGTGGTATATTTTGAGGTCTGAGTGTGAGTTTATATTGAAAGACACACCCAAACTCACATTCTCAGTTACTCACCCTCGTACTCCTACATTCACACTCTGATAACGGCTGTTTATTTTCGCTTTCTTTTTCGTCACTGAACTCGTCGTGGTTTGGTAGATAATGAATGGATGTGTATGGTTTCTGGAGAAATTTCGATATTGCTCGGCAATACGAAAAGATTTTGTTTTTTTTCTATAGGGTCTACTAAATATGGATTTTTTAATAAAAGGTTCTTCAGTGCTGTTAGGAATTTTTTCCTAGTTTCAGAGACTGTATGGGA